CGTTGAAAACAATTTCACTAAGATTTTCATATGTTCATACAGGTTCGGAGCCGGGAGATAATGTATCATTCCAGAACCTCGTCCACCGAGGCACTGTTCAAGATAATGTCGTCCAACACGAGGATATCAAAATATTTAGTTTCGATGGAACAACTATCGACTTACATGGAGGTACTTAGACAAATATTAGTATGAATTTATTTCGTCTCAGTCATTTACAGAAACCTATTTGTGCAACTCAGAAACTTGCGAGAGTCATACTTCGAGGCGAATGGGCCTTCAATCTGTCTCAGCTACACTAACAACTAATGTAAATTGGAAACAAAAGGAACTTCGGTCTGTTTCATCGTAGTACTAACGCAAAATATGCACGTTTGAGTAACTTGTGACGAATATTGTACTTTCAGAATTCTCAGACTTGTTCGCGGCGCATGTCTCGAACGGGTTGGTGTCGGTGACACTGAAGCCAGAACAGAACCTCCCCGCTGCCGTCACACGCGTAGCCCTTGAGCTCCACGCAAGAAGCGCAAGAGCTGTACTACTTCTTAATGTGTTGGGATCAGGTAGCTACGGTTTAATTAATTAAATACTCGTAATTAAAGTAGACAGGGTCTACCTCAGGAATCGGTGACTACTTACTACCCACTCTAATCACCTTCCGAACCCCACACAGAGCTATGGCTGTATATCTTATCAGTTTATGTGATAAGACATACATACATATTCGGAAAAAGCTTTTACTAAACAGACGGTTGGCAATGAGTCCGTTTCGCTATTGAAATATATTTTTTTCATATGTCATAAATACTGTGGTTTGCGTTTTAATTCTCTAAATTAGTACTTTATAAAACGTAAATATGTTAGTGACGTGTACTCATTTTTCGTTGAAAACAATTTCACTAAGATTTTCATATGTTCATACAGGTTCGGAGCCGGGAGATAATGTATCATTCCAGAACCTCGTCCACCGAGGCACTGTTCAAGATAATGTCGTCCAACACGAGGATATCAAAATATTTAGTTTCGATGGAACAACTATCGACTTACATGGAGGTACTTAGACAAATATTAATATGAATTTATTTCGTCTCAGTCATTTACAGAAACCTATTTGTGCAACTCAGAAACTTGCGAGAGTCATACTTCGAGGCGAATGGGCCTTCAATCTGTCTCTGCTACACTAACAACTAATGTAAATTGGAAACAAAAGGAACTTCGGTCTGTTTCATCGTAGTACTAACGCAAAATATGCACGTTTGAGTAACTTGTGACGAATATTGTACTTTCAGAATACTCAGACTTGTTCGCGGCGCATGTCTCGAACGGGTTGGTGTCGGTGACACTGAAGCCAGAACAGAACCTCCCCGCTGCCGTCACACGCGTAGCCCTTGAACTCCACGCAAGAAGCGCAAGAGCTGTACTACTTCTTAATGTCTTGGGATCAGGTAGCTACGGTTTAATTAATTAAATACTCGTAATTAAAGTAGACAGGGTCTACCTCAGGAATCGGTGACTACTACCCACTGTAATCACCTTCCGAAACCCACATAGAGCTATGGCTGTATATCTTATCAGTTTGTGTGATAAGACATACATACATATTCGGAAAAAGCTTTTACTAAACGGACGGTTGGCAATGAGTCCGTTTCGCTATTGAAATATATTTTTTTCATATGTCATAAATACTGTGGTTTTCGTTTTAATTCTCTAAATTAGTACTTTATAAGACGTAAATATGTTAGTGACGTGTACTTATTAATCGTTGAAAACAATTTCACTAAGATTTTCATATGTTCATACAGGTTCGGAGCCGGGAGATAATGTATCATTCCAGAACCTCGTCCACCGAGGCACTGTTCAAGATAATGTCGTCCAACACGAGGATATCAGAATATTTAGTTTCGATGGAACAACTATCGACTTACATGGAGGTACTTAGACAAATATTAATATGAATTTATTTCGTCTCAGTCATTTACAGAAACCTATTTGTGCAACTCAGAAACTTGCGAGAGTCATACTTCGAGGCGAATGGGCCTTCAATCTGTCTCTGCTACACTAACAACTAATGTAAATTGGAAACAAAAGGAACTTCGGTCTGTTTCATCGTAGTACTAACGCAAAATATGCACGTTTGAGTAACTTGTGACGAATATTGTACTTTCAGAATACTCAGACTTGTTCGCGGCGCATGTCTCGAACGGATTGGTGTCGGTGACACTGAAGCCAGAACAGAACCTCCCCGCTGCCGTCACACGCGTAGCCCTTGAACTCCACGCAAGAAGCGCAAGAGCTGTACTACTTCTTAATGTCTTGGGATCAGGTAGCTACGGTTTAATTAATTAAATACTCGTAATTAAAGTAGACAGGTCTACCTCAGGAATCGGTGACTACTACCCACTGTAATCACCTTCCGAAACCCACATAGAGCTATGGCTGTATATCTTATCAGTTTGTGTGATAAGACATACATACATATTCGGAAAAAGCTTTTACTAAACGGACGGTTGGCAATGAGTCCGTTTCGCTATTGAAATATATTTTTTTCATATGTCATAAATACTGTGGTTTTCGTTTTAATTCTCTAAATTAGTACTTTATAAGACGTAAATATGTTAGTGACGTGTACTTATTAATCGTTGAAAACAATTTCACTAAGATTTTCATATGTTCATACAGGTTCGGAGCCGGGAGATAATGTATCATTCCAGAACCTCGTCCACCGAGGCACTGTTCAAGATAATGTCGTCCAACACGAGGATATCAGAATACTTGGTTTCGATGGAACAACTATCGACTTACATGGAGGTACTTAGACAAATATTAATATGAATTTATTTCGTCTCAGTCATTTACAGAAACCTATTTGTGCAACTCAGAAACTTGCGAGAGTCATACTTCGAGGCGAATGGGCCTTCAATCTGTCTCTGCTACACTAACAACTAATGTAAATTGGAAACAAAAGGAACTTCGGTCTGTTTCATCGTAGTACTAACGCAAAATATGCACGTTTGAGTAACTTGTGACGAATATTGTACTTTCAGAATACTCAGACTTGTTCGCGGCGCATGTCTCGAACGGATTGGTGTCGGTGACACTGAAGCCAGAACAGAACCTCCCCGCTGCCGTCACACGCGTAGCCCTTGAGCTCCACGCAAGAAGCGCAAGAGCTGTATTGCTTCTTAATGTCTTGGGATCAGGTAGCTACGGTTTAATTAGTTAAATACTCGTAATTAAAGTAGACAGGGTCTACCTCAGGAATCGGTGACTTGTTCTACCCACTCTAATCACCTTCCGAACCCCACATAGAGCTATGGCTGTATATCTTATCAGTTTGTGGGATAAGACAAACAGGCATACAAAATACATATTCGGAAAAGCTGTAAAATATGCTTTTACTAAACGGACGGCTGGCAATGAGTATGTTTCATTATCACAATATTTTTTTTTATTTCAGCTGCCATAGATACCGTGGTTTTCGTTCTAATTCTCTAAATTAATACTTGGTAACACATAAATCTGTTAGAGTAGTGTACTCATTAATCGTTGAAAACAATCTCAGTACGATGATTTGTAATGATAATGTCATCATCATCAGCCCGTATTCGTCCACTGCTGGACATAGGCCTCTCCAATGGCACGCCACTGAGCTCAGTCTTCAGCTCTTCTCATCCAACCACTGCCAGCCACCTTGCGGATGTCGTCACTCTACCTAGCTGGAGGGCGCCCTACACTGCGCGCGTTTGCCTAGACGCGGTCTCCACTCTAGAACACGTTTACCCCAGCGGTTATCGGTTCTTGGACAAATGTGACCGGCTCACTGCCACTTCAGCTTACTGATCCTTTGGGCTATGTCGATAACTTTGGTTCTCTGTCTGATCACTTCGTTTCGGATTCGATCCTTCAAAGAGACTAAGAGCATAGCCCTCTCCATAGCTCGCTGTGCGACCTTAAATTGGTGGACCAGTCGCACTGTCGGTGTCCACGTCTCGGCTCCGTATATCATTACTGGAATTGTCTTCAACAATGATAATAATTTTATATAATTTTAAAAACTTAATGTAAGGTTTGTAAGGGAAGGGACTTTATGTGGCCTCACACGTGAAAGTCAACCATTGGTCTAACTGCCTGTCAATCCGACCCGACGCCTTTTTTTTTCTTTAAGGGGGGAAAATCATCGAATGGCTGCTCCCGCCTGGGTGAGGCGGGAGTGAGTGTCAGACTCTTACTGACTGACCACTCCTTCTCCTGCACGTCGAGCCGGAGCCACGGTTACCCGTTAGGTTCTCCGCGACTCCGAATCGGCATCGGCCCTGTTGGGCCCCATCTGCGGTGGTCTGATGGCTCTTTTGAGGTGCGCGCGGAACGCGCTGTACGCTTGGGTCTGTTTCTGGTCTGACGGGGAGCCACCCATGCTTGCCGTCCGCAGGCCCGCACATACGGTGGCCGAAGATCGTCCCGCGAATCCCGACGCCCGGTGTGGCCTTCGCGATGGCTGGGTTGCGAGGAAGCAGCGCTTCGCTGCCTCACGCGTCCCTTAGAAACGAAGTATCCAATCATTGCCACATAATAATTCGGTAGTGCGATCGACAACTGTTGTTATGGAATTCGGCAAATTTTGCTATACTCCAGCCACATATACAAGAAGCAAAGATCGAAATTAGAATATCATTTCAATTCTCGGTCTTCCATATACTTTACTTATTACCCTTTTAGAACCAAACTCGACATATATAATAACAGCCTCGTAATATCTACGTAGCTTATTTATTTCCAAGCTGCTGCTCGCCAAGCGTGGAAATTATGACAAATGAATCCCTCTTTTGCAGAAGAGACCCTCAGTCCAGCAGTGGACTTTTTTTTTAATAAAACGTTATTAATCATAGCTACATACTTGTGTTTGCCAAGTTTCCTTCTAATTGCCTTTAAACTCATGTTAATTGTTCTTCCTTTCTTTAGGCATTGAGCCCTCAGTGGAGTTTTCTCCGGAGTCCTACGCAATGCTAGTATCCACAACGCAGACTGGCATCGTGGGTCGAGTGTCAGCTACATCCAACAATAATGAAGCAATCACGTACTCTATTGACACGGACAACGGTAAGCCAATCTTATTAACTGATGTACTAGCAAAAAATTGGCTGTACCTATGTGAACTGGTTTTATTTTTACAAGGCATCTAAAAAAAACGTAATTAAACTGTCAAACACCAAGCGGTCACCGGTGACCGCGACCTATTGTTCTTTAATTGTGTCTATAAAACCGGTACTCGACGAGTTAATAACAACTAGTCGTCCAAATAAGTATAGAATCGTTTCGTAACCGAAACCAATATAGGAAGTTATGTTAACTGTTTCCTTTTTGGGCTTTTATCGTCTATATAAAACAGAAATACCTGCAATATTGAATGTCTATGAAAACTTTAAAAATCTACTGATTCGTTCCTGAAGTCATTCATTTGTATAGGTACCAAATACAAATGCAAACATGTACTACCTTCCTTTAAATATAAAACTGTAGGCAAACATTTAATACAAACAAAATGCTATTAAAAGTTAAATATTTTATGATAGTCCCTACCAAGAGGCGGAACTAACCTTTGTAGTACATAGAAACATCTATTTATATGCTAGTCGATAATAGGTACTAATTCGTAATGACCACTAATGCGAAAATATACGAAAAATTACCAATATTCCTTATTGGTATCATGTGTTTTTTTTAAGTTATACCTATTCAAAGACATGTTTTAATATGGTACTTACTATAAACAATAAGTTCACACAAAGCAACATGCTTTATTGCTATATTTCAGGCAGGATCAAACTTTACAAAATCTGCTTTACATTTGAATAAACTTGCGGCCTCAATGGTAAAGGACAAAAGTTGTTTGTTATATTTCTACATTATTATTCAAGAGAGGCGCCCTTAGGAAGTTTATTATACTGAGTGTAAAATATTTTTCTTCTAGATTTACTTGAGTAAAGTATCCCGACCGCATTCATTATCCAGTTTAATGTCTACCAACATTCAGGTGCGAATCTGAGTGCTGCAAGATTGTGCTGACAAAAGTACACTTTTGTGAATATGAATTATATTATGAGCTATACTATATTTCATCAGTAGTTAGATATATACTTACCAGAATATCTTTTTACTAGTGTATTGATCCGCAAGGATAACTTTCACAAATATTTTTGTGTCATAGGTATAGATATATCCTATACAATATCCGCTATCACATTACAATTACATCATTTCACTATTATGCCAGCTATGCTGGACATTAGGAGATCATTTACACAAAGCATTGAGTTTCCCCCTTCACCGAAGAAAAGCTGGCATGATGTGAATACTCTTTCGTTAACGTACGTATGATAAATTCGTGCCTTTTTCCTATGATGTTATGAACAAGAGCGTTGAATCTGAGATAAAAATATGGATTAAATAATTGAAGAATTGATTGCCTAAATGAAGGGACATAAATTGGGTTTTAATTTTAGTCTTCGTCTCCGGTTCAGACAACTGATTAAACATCGACTGAAAATGCATCTTGCGTATGCTTTCGAGGGAGAAAACACAAGACATTTAAAGCGACTAGGTACTTACACGCTGACTTTTTTTGTACCTATATGATTACTGATGAAGTATTATGATATGCAGGATTTAATACTACCGACTATTTGACATAATATTTATTTGGGAGAACATACTGTACATAGTAAAACATACTTAAAATTTAAATATTAGGTCTAGGTCTGAAACTAAATTCTCTAAGTTAGTTTATTGTGCCCAAATGTGAATTTAGTGCGCGCCTAAAATTCTTCAAAAGCAATTTTACTTTGCGAAGTAATTGGTGTACGCTGGTAGGCGTCAAGGTGTAGTTAATTCTTCCTTTCACTATGTACCTATAACGAAATAAATAATAGCTACGGCTGTGTATTTCTAAAGTTAGAATTTAACTTTGCAAATAGGTACTTGGGTTCTTTGGTATAACTTTTATCGTGTAAGAATGTAAATAAATATTTTAGCATAAATAGTTTGTACATGAATATTCCGAACTCATTGGATATCGCGCGTTCTCAGGACGGATTGGCAAAAACTAAGCACACCCCAAAATGTAAAACTACAGACTCCTAATCACTAGGATAATAGTATTTCCAGAACCTTATTATAACAATAATAGTGGTAAACCTAAAATTCAGGCCTGAGACTCATTGAAAATCGGTCTTGTGATTTAACCAAAGACACGGTTTGAGATGGCTTGAGTCATGAAATCGATACAAAAGTCTCATTTCTGTTTCAGGTCATCTACTATCACGTCTTTCTATAAACAATGAGGGCGAACTGCACTTGTCTGCTCCGGTTGATAGTGGTGTTTACACTTTCCAAGTTGTTGCTGCTACTGCACAAGCAAGGGCCACAGCTACGGTAAGAACTTCTTTGTATACTCTATGTTGTATCAAATAGTCACATATTGTAAATGCAGTACCTACTTATTGTATGTTACCGAAACTTGGACTAAGAAAATAAGCAATTTGGTAAAATTATAGGATTATCATGACCTATGGTTTCTGATTTTTCTATAGGTACATCTTACATCGCAAGCAGCCACGGTATGCGACGATCGTGGCATTGTAGTACCACCGTTGATTGTAATAGATCGAGACGAAGAAGAGGAACACAGGAATCTAGTGGTACTTGATCCTACGCAACATGCTGGCTGCCGTTACACCATGACAAATCGATGGCCCACACAGCAATCATGGCTATATGTCGATGAAACTGGATTACACACCACAGCAATAGACAGAGAACACGAGTCTATAGCGTTCATGAGCGTTTCACAAGTTCAAGTGGAGCTTCTATTACAATGTGACAATGACCCTGTACGAACAAGACGCTCGGAACGCTCATACGATTGGCTTGACCCCTATGAATACGGTAGCAATAAATGGATCCTCACAGACTCGATCCCCTACAACTCTAGACGTACCTTAGTAAATGTGATAGTGAATGACATCAATGATAACGCTCCTATATTTGTGGGTAAAGGAAACGAACCAATTGCTGTCGGATATCCAAGTAGTGAGCTCGAAGATAGGATATTACCTCGCTCTTTAGCAGAGTTGCAGGTAAGTAGTATTATGCAAATGTTTTGTATATCTGAGCAAAAACGTTGAGAGTCGTAAACTGTGTGTGTTGCATTTATATTTTATTTTAAGTTCTCACGTTGTAACATGATTCACGTCTGGAAAAAGTTTTATCTTTGAATATAAAACCAGATGTCGTACCTGAGTGAGTCATTGCCGCCGAACTCAACTTTATTAATGGCAAGAGTTTTATTTACATCAAGAATGTTCGATGGAAATTTAATTCATGGTGACAAGTTAACAGTTATGGTTATCAAATAGTCTCGATGCTGTAATACCAAAATCATTTAAGGTTTAAGTTCTAACATTAACTTTAAATCATTATTTAAGATAATAATATAATAATGACACACAGTGACATAAATACACAGTGATAATGTTTACGAAATATCATAATAATATTATAATTCACCTTTTTAAGAGTACGAAGTGCTTCAAATGTATATATACTTTATTAAAGTACTTAATGTGAAATCTATTTAATTCAATTTTCATCAGACATCTAAACCAACAATATTTTAAGTCACATGAACGCCATCCACTGTGCGCAAAAACTATTTTTGTATTACTTTTTTATTTTTTCTAAACAGGCGACAGACGCAGATATCGGAATAAATGCTGCATTAAGGTACTCCAGTTCAGAGAGTGTGCTAGCTGTCGCACCAACTACAGGCTTCGTTCACGTGCGAAGTGGTGCTAATCTCCAGCACAACCAGGTCCTTACTGTAACAGTCACTGATCAAAATGGAGAAGGATTGTCTGGAACTATCCAACTAGTAGTAAGTATTAATAGTTATTAGCCACTGCCATCTATTGGTCAATGCCTAAACTATATTCGGGGTGTGTCGAGAGATGTCGCCTCTGACATTATAGGAAGATGAAGACATGCTAGTAAATTACGTAGCATAAATATCATAAAGTCGCGTTTTGATCTTTCGATACATGTTTATATTATATATTTTATTTTATACTTGTATTGGGTATCAAATTAAAGTACAAATATGTATTAATTATTATAAATTATTCTCCGCTCAAGCAGTAATAAATAAGAGTAATAAGTACCTAAGCAAGCATCACACTCCAAAATCCATTTAAAAAATCTAATAAAAACATTCAAAATAGAAAAATGAATATTAATACTTATTGTTGAGCCTACATTGAGTTATTTATTAAATCATGTAATTTATTGACGTTATAAAATATCATTAGATGTTTGTACAAAACGATTTATGGTAGATACGAACCGGTTATAGGATTCTTTACCTAAATATAAAAAACATAATACATACAACACTTTTCCTATTCATATTATGTTTCTATCAATTACTACAAAAAACGTCAGTTCCTGAATAATAATATGAGATAAGCTTATGTTACTCAGGACTTAACTGTGTGATACTGATAACACAGCCAAATATTTGAAGACTTAATATTCTAAACATATTTCTTTAAAAATGTAAGAGATAGTGAAGAAAGGATTCTCTAAAATATGTTATTGAATTTGAATTCTTCACGATTTTTAAGTATGTAGGTCGCGGACAAATATAATCTTCGTATACCAAATCTGACAGTTCCGTAACATCTCTTAATTTTAAATTAGTTCCTACATGTAAATACTTGAATTACTTGGCTACAAACGTTAATTGGCTATATGTATACGTCTCTGAGGACTTGATAAGCATAAACGCATGACAACATAATGATAATACTTGCATAAACTACGATACAAAAACCGCTTCTTTTTGTACTCGGTTAATAAATATACCAAAACATTCTCATAAGTGTAACAAACACTTTACTGTAAACCGCGTCAAAATTGGTTCAGCCAATCGCGGGATAATCGCGCACAAACATACATACTTTTTCAAAAACAAGTTTACATACTTAATAATAGATTCACTTAAGAAAGACAAAGTTGTAATTTGTATAATAATTATATTAACATACTTAACTAAATTGCATGGACTCCCTTATTATGAGCAGTGTATAGTCATAGGCTCGTTACTTCACGTTTTAAAAACTAAACAGAAAACAGTCAAAATATGAAAAAATTACTACAGTACAAACTATAGGCCCTCTCCACCTACCTTGATGATTTCATATGATTTGAAGTATTTTTTTTTATTTACTTTAACACTCTTAAGTAATTAGAAACTGGTCCATTTTTTGTTTAATTTATTGCTCTTGATAAATCATCATTTTTTGTACCTATACCAAAAAATAACTTGTTTGGGGGCAATAGCACATACCGGATGGGACCACATCCACACAAGAAATAAACTTTTAATTAAAGTATATTTAATTAAAACCATTAAAATTATGAAAATTAAAGTATCGTATATGCATTTTATGTCCAAAATACTTGGCCGAATCTAAAGATCTAATGATTGATGATTGACCTCATAAGATCGGTCACATCTGACGAGGCAATATGATAATTTAATCAACTTAATCAACGGCACAATAACAAAATATTGTTAACTTCGAGTCAACCTTAAACTTTTACTTAATATATTCCACTAAAATTCGCTATTCTACATCTTTTGAAACCAGACCAATTTCAGATTTTTTTTGTCTCAAAACTCGAAATCATGATAATGTTTCTGTTTCCAGGTAAAACTATTGGATGTAAGCCATATAGCAGTAGTGACTGTCAGAGATGTCTTCCTAGACGATGAAAAAACAGTCTTAACTCAGTTAAGTGATGCCGTCGGATATGAAGTCAAGGCTTTGAGGTCAGTTGTCGTATCTGATGACATAAATGAAGATGTCACTAGGCACAAACGGCAAACTAACGCCAGAACTTCACTACAACTTTATGTATATGGACTAGTCGAACAAGAACCTGTTGTAGTTACTCAACTGACAAGGTAAGAATATCAACGGTATCGATAGTTAACTGTATCAGATAATATATCAAAAATAACACTTAGTACTCTCTTTACAGTGATCTTAATAACCAAGCTGTCATCCAGAATGTAGTTACCATCCCACTGGAAACTCATTTGGAAAATGGGAACACAGTGATACAAACTGCAGTTGGTTTGTTGATAGCTACAATAATCCTTAGTGTTCTACTATTTGCGGCTCTTTGTGTAATAGCCGTTTGGTTCTTCCTAAGATGGTAAGTAAACATAGAATTCTAGATTCAAAAATTTTAATGTTCAATAAGAATACTAATTCTGATTTAAAATTTAATTTCAGGAGGAAGAACAGACATTACAACGAATTCACCGATAGTAGCAGTCTTACATCAAGAAATGCATCACTTGGAGAGCAAGACAAACCAGAAGAAGTCAGACCACGACTGAATATTGAAGAACTAAAGAAAAGCGAGAAAAGATTACAAGAAAGATTGGCAGCCCCTATGGAAGAGATTGCAATAGAACCGATGCCAAGAAAACAAGAGCCTGCTGTGGAAGCTATATTAGATATGCCAGTGCCTCAACATAGTGTACCAATAGTGATACAATCAATTGATAAATTAAAAGATGCTGACGATGACAGTGACAATGATGAATTTGAGGAAGTCAGTAAAGCACGTAGAAAATCCGTAGTGACATTTAATGAAAATGTTGAAAAGATAATTCATGTACAAAACGAGGTTGATGAAAGCGAAACAGATGGCATTATTACTGTTGATAACGATGATGCCGGCAGTACTAGCACCGATGACATTGCAATTTACAGACTATAACTTAAAACACCCCGTAATGAAAAATTCAAACCTGTGTGACAATTTGAAACCATAAAAAATGTACATTTACTATATTAATACAACTAACTAATCTCTAGGTAGGTAAGTACTTTTCTAAGTGATAATCGACTTTATATAAATAAATGTTTTTATTTTTATTATCTTGGTTTTTACTTTTTAGTTAATGATATTAAACATTCAGCTTCTTCTTTATGTAACTGAAAGGTACAGGTACAAGTACTGCTCTTGCTTTAAACTATATATTTAATCGATATGTGCTTATCGGGTATTTAACTATAACCAGTTCGGAAAAAATAATTTATATACTTATTGTAAACACATTCTGTGAGTCAAATAGTCAAATTAGATCGTAAGATGATATAAATAGGTTCTTACTAATTTATACTAATATCACGCTTGTCATTCCCATAAAAGGTTGGTAAGAGCTTAAAAAAGAAGGTTGTAGAGCTATAATTATTGGAGGAATTAACTTTTTTTTTATTAATTGTGCTATTAGCCAATCAATAAAACTATGTTACTAGAGAACTATATTGTGAACCTGATTGAAAAAGAGTAACCTATGGAGTTTCTTGCTCGTTCTTCTCTATAGGAATCTATACCTTGGAATGAGCAAATAGCTTCACATTTAATTTTTTGTTGACGTTCAAAAGTGCCTTTCTGGTTTAATGGAAATACATGGTTTTGACTTTGACTTTAACTTAAGCCTTACTGTAATAAGTCCATTGATTTACTGGATACAGGACAACATTTTAAGAATTTGAAAACATATTGTACAATACATTACTCACCCCAAAGATCGCAACCCCGTACTCGGTAATGCACTTGTGACAACTCAACCAGAACATGAGCGGACTACCTAATTGTGTTTACATTAAAACTATTTTAACGTTTTGTAGACATCTACTAAAACAATGTTCGTAGCGAAACACTAGCGCAAATAAATTGCGCTGGGCGTTTCTTTTAACGGTTTAAAATTCGTTCACATTCTATTCGTAGGTGGATTGTTATTCTGTCATGTATAATTTATTGTTGGTGTGACCTTATAGGCCATAGTCCAGTTTATAATGGTGCTCGTTTGTTACAAAGTTACGAAAGACCAGGATATTAGAGAAATGTTTATATTGTCGTCGCCTCTCGAATGTTCTAGGGTTGTCTTGCAATTCAACTTTCGACTGTTTAGCGCCAAACGTGTAACATAGTAATATTATGACTAATCTCGTTTTTACAGTTATCGTCCGGTTAGCCGGTTTTTCGGCTACCTATAGGATCTTAATATTCAAGCCGCGGATTGAGATAGGATCTCTGACATTTTCGAATATGTCCGTTGACCGTATAAATAAAACAAAGCAAGCTCAGTTCATGAAGCCTACGCTCCCACACACCTCTTACATTAAGCAGTGCTCTATCATTGTAGACGACCCCAAAACGGAAAATAATTGATGTCATCACTCTCTCGCTGTAGAACTAGACATCGGTCGTATGATTTATAAAATACTGAAACAAAAAATGCTAGACTTAAATGTCAATAACCAACGGTATTTTTTATTCTGACATGTCTACTAGTCTGAAGAAGCATTTATATGATGAAATTGATGGTATTGGTTCTAGGAAAATATTGCTTACCATATTTCTTGCATTAGATAATTTCATTGAGATGCTTACATGTTGCTTTCAAATGTATTTTGTATCTTATTCAAGACACAAAATAAAAATATATCGACAATTATGCGTACCACAAGGATACGACAAACGTTTAGTACGTAGGTAGAGGTGCCTATAGTCCATTTAGCACTGCGGTCACTACAAACATTCCTAATTTAAAAGGAATCCTTAAAAGGAAAATGCCTCTTTTGTATTTAAATAGTAAATTAGAAACGATGACTGTTACTTGTAACTATTTGTGTTATTAGTGGAGAACAAAGCCTAATGGGTTTACATTTTGTAGAGACAACAATATTTTATGACCTTTTTTGGTATTACATAACATCAAACCCGTTTTCCTAGAAGATGTGGGAAGGAGGACCTACAGAACGTACTTCCATGTTGATAGTTAAGTATATCTATGTCGCTACATATTCTTCCAATGTTTTAATGAGAATTCTGAAATTGTAAAATTATGGGTAATATGCTTACTCTACCCACACAAATATAAGAATGAGAAAGCAATCAAATATTACTTAAAACGTATACGTAGGTACTTATTGATATTAAACTTTATGATAATAATATTTTCCTTCTCCCTCAGCATCAAAATGAAAAACAAACGGCGAACTTATCTCGAAAATGTTTCATAAAATAAGTACCTAAACCTGAAACGTAAGTAAATTAATATTATACATCTTAGTGCCTACATATTCATGCAGTTGAAGCTTTTTTATGACGGGGGGGACAACTTCAGAAGGCGTCTAGCTTTTTGGGGAGAAAGACTAGGAAGTGAGTGTGGGAATTTACCCCATTAACATCACACCGGCGGTCACCCTCCGACCTTGTAAGGGACTACGAGTCCTCTAATAGATCTGCTCCAGAGCCCCCACAGTACAACGTCTGTTACGGCACATCTACAGGGCACACTAATTGTAGCCCAGATCCGCCGAATAATGAAAAGTTTATAACCGTAGTAAAGTTTTTTCATTCTTTCACGTGAGGAAACCGGTGTTTCGAATTAATTCAATAATTTCAGGATTAGCTACCAATAACCTTAAGAGAAATCATGAGAGATTTTATTATTGAAAAACACCTAATCATTTTTCTTTAGGCATGTTTAAAGTAAAGCAGATATTGTATGAATCAAACACATTTTTATTCATCAACCCTGTATTTTATTCAATTCACATTCAGTTTGCAGAACAACGCTCGTGCCTACAATACGCCTGATTTTTTCCTATAGGTACAAAAATTCGTACAAAGTACTTGCTGAGTTAGTAACAGAGTGCTGTTATTTCAAATGCCTAAAGAAATGGGAATTCCACATTTATAATGACAAACACGTCTTGCTTTGGTATTTTCGAGTACCTAAATATGTACCTAAGTAAATACATACCTATTATTATTATTATTTTAAACTTTTAATCAAACACAGTCAGAGTCATACACAAAGGTGGTAACAACAACTTTAGACTACCTTACATTCTATACTCCTGAAAGACGAAAAAGCCAGTACCTAGGTATCTTAGTAAAATTACCGCATTCCTATTTACCTAAGTCTGTTTTAGAATAATACCATAAACATTGAAGATTAATTTGGTGCATAATAAAACGCAGTTTTTACTTAGCTGTAATAAACAACAAGTGAAGTCGCAAACAAATTTTAAATCTATACATTAGTATAGGAAAGCGGACGAAGCCGGAGGCAGAAGCTACTTTAATAACTAACTTCTGCCCTCGGCTTCGTCCGCTTTCCCGTGGGATGAAAAAAGCCTATGGGTTATTCCAGATCATAATCTGCAAAGCCGCAGAGGACTTAACGGGTTGCCGGAGCGCCGGCTAGAAGAGCTGGGCCACTAGCCAAACGCCACTTTAGCACTTGTCTACAGATAGAGTAGAAATTAAAATTTATGGGGGGTAATAAATTTTAATTTCTTTCTTCCTTCACTAATTTCTTTCTTCACTGACAAGTGTCAAAATTTACGTCAATTCCATATAATTTGATTTTCTATTCTACATGTAGACAAGCGCTTAATGGCATTTGGCTACAGCTGCAGGAGTAGGAACGGGGTGGTTTTTAGTCAGTAGGAGTCTGACACTCCCGCTCGCGTCACCAAAGCCGGGAGAAGTCATTGGATGATTTTCCTCTAATAAAAAGACCATAATCTACTTTGTTCCAAATTTCATCAACAAACAAACCAACATACGAACCTTCACCTCTATAACATTAGTAGGATGTTTTATAATCTTTGTAAATAGTACACTCCCTTGAGTGTTTATGATTCAGCTCTCATTCGGCAGCTGATATAGCGCGTTCATGCGACAGCTTCTGTGATAACAAGCAAATCACAATCAGATCCCAGCTCGTTGAAGGACGTGCCTTGAGTACCAAGACGACTTGCCGACATTGGATGCACTCTGCCATTGTAAAATCCAACTTGGATTTTCACTTGTTCCACATGAACGCATAAATATATTTGAAGCTTTTTAAAAATATCGAGAATTCCCATAAACTACACGTCTCATACCTGAAAGCAGTATTTAGTAAACGACCATATTTGCGGTTTTTCTATAATTATCATAGATTCTGTAATGCAAATAAAACTCAGCTGCATAGGTTCCTGTATGTTTTTAGTACTTTAAATAAAAACTACATCATAAGTTATACCGGTACGCCGTTTATTCCCCGAAAGGGAGTCAGAGGTACATAATGGGTGGATCTATTGTTATTTACCTGGCATAGTTCCAGATTGTTAATTATGGCTATTATGTTAAACCTCGGGATTGCGTGATCCAAAAATCTCACCCAAGAATCCTTGCTCGGCTGTCGCACTTTCGGTCGCTCTACCAAAAAGAAAGTCACAGGAACCAAATATTGTGTAGTAGCCATTTACGCCACTCCACTCCTACGTCAACAGACACATCATAAAATTCGTCATTTGCAAACTGGTTTATTAATCTTACTTCATACATATTTAAAATATTTTTCTAAATCCACATGCCAGCGTTAGATACAGTATATATTGTAAAATCAATAAACAGGGTGATTGTACGGCCAGGTGTATGATTGTATTTTTATGTATTTGTCCACCAACAATTGTACATACTAGTTTTTTTTAATGGGACAAGCGCGCCACATCCTCCCGGAACCGCTGCAACTCCTGTAAGCCAGGATCTACAATAGATACAACCATGAAAACACCGAAACACTGAATTCCGGCGCGTCCCAGGGACATGAATAACTGTCTTGATTCCCGCAACGAAGTGAATCAGATGATATACGTATTATAAGAGGAGAAGAAAAAAATGATCGTTTCCACTTCCCTCTGTGACTT